TCTACAACGTTGGAGAAAATACTACGCATTGCACACTTGAAATATGTTATTTTTGTATATTTTAAGTGACACTGTAGAAAATACTTTGCAATTTGTGAAAATAATTTAAGACCAAGACTTAGTGCATTGTGGCTGCTTCATTCCACTCATATGTTGTTTCCAAATCTTTGCATGACCGCGGAATGGTTCAGCACACAATGCACTGAGTCCAAGGCTTGACAGCATAATCCATAAAACACAACAATTCACAATGGTCATCATTCACCCTCCCCGCGATGGGGGGGGGGGTCTCCCTCAAACTTTTGAATGGTGCATAATTGGACACGTCATATTCATACTTTCTAGATCTGTCAAATGATACTTGAAAAATGTTCTTATTTTCATGTCACTACCAAAAATTGGTGAAATATTGGTACGGCCTCCGTTTTTTTGACAGCGGCTGGCGGTTGGCGATTAGACTGACTTCATTTTTTTCAAGATCATCTACATGTTTTTAGAAGTTCAAATCTGACTTAATGTTTAAGATTTGACCTTCAATGACATTTTCAAGGTAAAAAGGTCAAAAAGATCTTTTTTCAACTTGCTTCAAATTGAATTTCTTTTTTTCAAAGTCATCTACAAATTTTCAAAAGTTCAAACCTGGCTATAGATTTGACCTTCAATGACATTCTCGAGGTCAAAAATATTTTACCTTCAATGGCCTTGTCAAGGTAAAAAGGTATTTTTTCATTGACCATTTTTTCAAAATCATTTACAAGTTTCCAAAAGTTCAAATCTAGCTATAGATTTGACCTTCAATGACATTCTGAAGGTCAAAAAAGATTTGACCTTCAATTACCTTCCAAGGTCAAAAAGGTATTTTCATTTTTCTTCAAATTGACAACTTTTTTTCAAAATCATCTAAAAGTTCTTAAAGTTCAAATCTGACTTTAGATTTAAGATTTCACCTTAAATGACATTCTCAGGGTCAAAAAGGTCTTTTCCGACTTCGATTGACTAATTGATTTTTTCGAAATTGTCTACAATCTCTCAGAAATTCAAACGTTATTTAAGATTGAATTCATAATATTGTAAGCAACTAGGTGGTGACATTTTGTCATGCTAATGCCAAGGATACGAGTGAATATTCTTGAATAAGACATACTCAACATTGAAATAAGGGGGGGGGGGGTAATAAAAAGCTCATTATTACAAATAAATTCCAAACATCCTGCAAATTTCTTTTCGTTTTAAGCTCTTTTGAAGCTCAGCACAAAACATTTTAGTTGTCAGAAATGTTAATCTGTTTATAACTATTTACACCATATATCACCAGATGCTGATATTTTGACATCTTAAATAAATCGCTTGTTTTGAATGTTTTCTTCATACTGGGTCATTTTGTAACTACAGGGTAGGCCAAAAAACAATAAGCAAGTTTAAAGATGAATATCATATGCTATATATTAAATTAAACCATGTTTATCTATGGACAATATTTCTGTTAATGGTTTCGTGATATCGCATCTAAATATATAGAAACTGTTTTAACGTTCAGTCAGGATCCCGGTCCTGTAAATGATATGTGGAACTATTTGAATTGACTGGAGGTCAAATACTTCACATATTCAGCTCATTATAAGGTCTCGGGGTAGTAAAGAAAGTAACACCAAACAGGAAATGAAAAAACATGTGGATTTTAGATTTTTTGAAGTGAGATAACAGAGTTGTGCTTTGATCTTCAGTGAGTTGTATTACTCCCGTATTTATTTTCACAATGCTCATTGTCAAAATGACATGTACCATGCTGAACCAGCTTCAGCCCTCTGAAAATTTGACTGAAAAAAGTTAAAAGTTACTATTCAGAAACGTCACAGAACAGAATATTTTGATTTTTTTAGAAAATGTGCTCAATATATTACTTTACATGATAGTAGCTTTGAAACGTAAAGTGTGGCCTTCATACGGTAAGATAGCATAATTATATCGAGTAAAATGGTTTGATTATAAACTTTAACAACAGCTGAACAGTTATTTTAGAATAAGTAAAATTAATTACCCTCATCAATTTCATAATTTCAAGTAAGAAGTTAAGTGAAAACTATAATTAGCTGCTTAGTGAATAGGAAAGTATGTGCTTATGCAGGTCAAAATGTTCACCTTATAAAACTCTTTGCAAGCGGTGTCTAGTCGAATTGATTTTTTAGTGATATTATATCGGGTGTCCCAAAAGGGAGACGCTTTTTGACAAGTATTTTCTCGACAAATGATGAACCAAATTCACTTTAAATTTGTCGGAGTAGCCTAAGAGTATCATTAGCAAGTTGTAATTATACATAAATAAGATCAAGTAAATATTCTGTGAGTACTAAGAAATTCACCCCATGTAGACAGATCCGCTAAAATTACATTCGTATGATGCGAGACTCGACATTCACCAGGAAATTAGAAACGTTTTGCCACCCACGAAGCAAATTAATTTTTTACTGCTTAATAAATGGTGAATGACAGTCACATTGAGTTCTATTAGTATGAGAATATCAACGTCTTGATATTTCAAAATAAATCGTAGAAAATAGTGGTGGCGGTGATTGAAATTACGATGTAAAGATAAAACCGCAACGAAACATTTGAAGATTTCTTTGAAAAACGAAGAAATATACATCACATATCGAATTTTTCAAAACAGAAAAACATGTATAAATAGTAAGGCCTATTATTACCACCTTGCCGGGTCAGTTCTAGGGGTTTTAGTGCTAGTTGAGAAGGCATTTAAATTGCTATATTGACGTGAGCAATATTGTGTCGGGCGTTAATGACTTTAGTCGGGCAATAATGACATTATCCGCCCGGCTATGTTTCCCGGGAAAAGTGATATCGTTCAGTGCGTAAGATTTTCTATTTCAAATTTGCTATTTCAGCCCTGGGCATTAACGGTGGTAAAATAGTAATAACGTCATTTCTGCGGGCAAAATGGTGAAATGTTAGACCTTGGGCCTGCGGCCCTTGGTCCAATATTTCACTATATTGCCCTTTGAAATGACGTTATTGTACTATTATTACCACCTTGCCGGGCCAGTTCTAGGGGTTTTAGTGCTAGTTTAGAAGGCATTCATTTTACTATATCGACCTGACAAATGTGTGACGTCATAGTGGTGGTCCATATGGACCGGTGTGAAAGAAATGATGGCCCCCAGGGATTATGGTCCCCTTTCTTAAGCCCGGTATACACCAATGGGGCAAGTTGGGACCTCCATAGACTTAACATTGCGTGGGACCTCGTGGGACCTTTTGGGATTTTGCCCCATGAAGTCCGTGGGACTCCATGGGACTCCGTGGGATTTTGCCCCATCTTGCCCCATCGAGTCCCACGAGGTCCCATGAGGTCCCATGAAGTCCCACGTGGGACTCGGTGGGACTCGATGGGGCAAGATGGGGCAAAATCCCACGAGGTCCCATGGAGTCCCATCGAGAATGAACATGTTCATTCTTTCCATGGGGCATCGTGGGATTTTCGATGATATGACGTGTTGTGTGAAGCTCGACATACACCAATGGGGCACGGTGGGATTTGATGGGACTCAATGAGGCTTCATGGGACTCCATGGGGCACGATGGGGCAAAGTCATCAAGGTCCCATGGGACTTCGTGGGATTCGATGGGGCAAATTGGGATTCGATGGGACAAGATGGGACTCGATGGGGCAAGTGGGATTTTGCCCCATTGGTGTATACCGGGCTTTAACGGCCCTTACTGGCCCCGATTGCGAATAAGATAATGAGGGAAAGAGTTGTATTTAGGTCACCATATAAAAGAAAGGAAAGTAGGACCATAATTTGATAGGACCTCCTACCCTTTTACACCGGTCTAGAATATATTCTGGACCGGCAATTTTTCCCCGGGAAATTAGATATCGTTCAGTGCGTAAGATTTTCTTGCTATTTCAGCCCTGGTCGTTAACGGTGGTAATAATACTAATAACGTCATTTCTGCGAGCAATATAGTGAAATATTGGACCTTCGGCCTTCGGCCCTCACTATATTGCCCTTAGAAATGACGTTATTGTACTATATGTCCGATTCTCCCTGGTAGCATTAACATTGGTCACGTGTATGTCATACAATTATTATTTGAAACACTATTATTCGAACTTATGGAGGAAGATATACAAGACCAATAATTCCGAGAGATCAAAGAAAATACAAAATATGTAAAATCAACACTGGTAGGCTATGGAAACTCATTTTATTTTTGAATGCCAAAAATTGGAAAAAATGAGATATGAATACTTTGATACCTTTAACTCAATTTGCCCAAATCAAACTGTATTGACTCCCGAACAAAAGGCTCATTATATGTTTAATGCTGAGGGTAACATGTGTATCACCTTTGCAAAATACCTTTATGAAATAATTGAAAAGAGATCAACTATATTAACAATATAAATATATACATGTGGGCTAATGGTAGTGGTTGGTATATATCTAATGATCAGTCAATAGTACAATAATGTCATTTCTAAGGGCAATATAGTGAAATATTGGACCAAGGGCCGAAGGCCCAAGGTCCAATATTTCACTATATTGCTCGCAGAAATGACGTTATTAGTATTATTACCACCGTTAACGACCAGGACTGAAACAGCAAGAAAATCTTACGCATTGAACGATATCTAATTTCCCGGGGAAAATTGCCGGTCCAGAATATATTCTAGACCGGTCCAGAATATATTCTAGACCGGTCTATATGACGTCACACATTTCTCAGGTCGATATTGTACAAATAGTGACTGCCATTGAGGGAAATAGTGCAAAATATTTTCCTCAAGGGAATATCCTGTCCACTGACATGTTCCCGAGGCTGCAGGCTGCAGACCTACGGCCCTCGGGCAAATATATTATATTGGCCTCGGGTTAATCCCAATATCCTGAACCTCATATAGGATAATCTCTATCTATTCACCAAACAAAGGGATCCAGCCTCTATATACGCATCAGTGTATGTAAAGTTCTTGTTAACAGGTGGCCTATGGAACATCAAAGATGGGAAAAAAGATAAAGATTACAAAGGTCCAACCGTGTATCCATCTCTTGTGATGAACACATGTAAGGAGACGAGCACGTGCAGCGACCATCCCGTTCAAGACGTAAGCACCAAAATTATCTCATAATTCAATCACATTCTACATGTAAATAAGAAGTAAATGTAATGCCTCAGGCGACATTTGATCTACGGCAACCGTAGGACGGTCGAAGCTTTCCGAAATCGAGAGAAATTTGCAGCTAGCTAGCTGCAGCATAAAATATAGAATAAGATATCGATTTCGAGAAAAAGCAAATGGAACTGAGGTTTTTTCTGGACGGCCTTTCTATGCTTTTTATTAATGGTTTTAAGCTAGAATTTAAATTTGACTCCCATAGTACATCTACCACGTGGTCATCACGATACAATAAGCAAATTTAAAACAAAAATGCCAAATCACCAGTGATCGCCCTGTATACAGTTTATGCGTTTTAACTTTCCTTGAAGGATTGGCCAAATTTCTTACCATGGAGTTTGTTCTTGGAGTATCTTGAATCATACGCAAATCGCTTCCAACTGAGGCAGCACATAAAATTGAACGAGGAAATTGTAGAAGTCTCACGATTGGATACGGAAAGGCCCAACGGCAGAGGCTGGAAAGTTGTGCATAAAAATACCACAACAGGTTCAGGTTGGTACAACATAACAGCGTAAATATACCCTTTGCATTCATTCGACTTCACTTCTTAAAAGGGAGCTTCGTCTTCGGTAGTTTATAACTAGACTTTGCGCGCAGTGCAGCGTAAATAGCAATGACAAAGCATGCGAATGACGGTGTCTGAGTTGCCAAAAACGTAGATTTAAATGTATTTTGTTATCAATTATATAAAACTTATTATGTAAATCATCCTCCACAATTTCCTAGGATTATAGAATAAATTGTAAACAGGTGCAAATGAATTAAATAAGTACTAATCAAATGGATTTTATTTTCTTGTTTGTGGAGCAGCGCGTGGCTCCTTCTTATGGTGTCTCAATTAGCGGAGTCAGATGTCCAGATAACCCTGTTTTTGTTCATCTTTTTCAGGAAAGCAACACAATTGGCACAGTTGTAGAAACACTGATCTGAGTGAAAAATGATTTCGGGGAAGTCTTCATGGATTTTTTAGCCTCTGACCCCCACCCCTTTCAGGCGGGGAGGGGGTACATTATAAAAAATAAATAGAAATGATTTTAAAGTATGTTTCTTTAAATGACTGGTCATTGGTTTGAGCCTTAAAATTGTGTAAAATCCATTTTAGAAGTGATGGTTAGTGAGGTAAATACATTTAACCCAATATCCCAGATGCGAGTAGAAATAATCTTGATTTACGTCATTAAAAATTCACAATTTAGTCAAGCTGGTGTCGTATTTGGAATCAACATGTAAAATTACATTTAGAAATGTGGTTTTGAAAAGAGTTTATCAACTTTGAAGATTTATTTTTCTTTGAAAATGTGACTTTTAGGTCGGGGAGATTCAGGGGAAACCTTATTTTACCTTAATAATTTTTAAGATATGCAATGTATGCCTCTCATATGAGCTCAAAATGGTGCACAATGTCATATTATGTCACTATGAATTTTACAGGACTGTGAGACATCACATTCTTGAAATACATTACTGGATGTCCCTTATTAGCCCTTTAGTCTGTAAAATTGTTAGATAATTGGGTTAAAATGTATTTTCCTCGCTACATTTCCCATTGTGAAATAGGTGTTACACAATCTAAGGCCCTAAGCAATCACCAAATGAAGCCATTTAACGAAAAATTTCAATTTTTTTATTTTTTATAATCTACCCCCTCCCCGCCCGATAGGGGAGGGGGGGGGGTTCGGAGGCTAAACAATCCATGAAGACCATCCCGAAACAATTGCCCCGAAATCATTTTGCACTTAGATCGTGTGTTTCTACAATTGTGCCAAGTTTAATGCTTTCCTGAAAAAGATGAACAAAAAGGTCATCTGACTAGGACGCTCTACATAATCCAAAGGCACACTTGTATAAAAAAATAAGCCAGAGATCCAAAATACTTGACATGAACGATTTACTTAACATGTTTATTACATGGTCATGGGAATTTACCACCCTCTCGATTTTTTCGATTGAACTTCTTTGCTAGTTTTTATTGTGCCCCCGTTATTTTTTACCTTGAGCCATATAGATATGAGACACTTTTTGCGTAAAATCAAGGTGATTGGGGGCATGGGGTAGAGTTATAATAGTCGGAAATTGATGCAAAGTGATCATTATTGCTCTTTTAGCACATTGTACTTCCCTTACAACATGCTTGATTTCAATGAAGATCTATGGTGAGAATTTTTAAAAGGGAAAACGGTATTTCTAAAAACTACTTGGGTGCATCGAAACGTTTTGCAATTTTGACTCTATCGCAATAACTATATTGAGTTATGTCATCATATTTGGCACATACATTGATCATACATTTGTGGACATACCTGTAAAATTTGAAGACTGGATCTTCATTTTTAAGAAAATATGGTTGTCATAGCAACATAAGATGAGACCTCATGGTTCCATGCAAATTTATTATTACGCAATAAACAGAATAAATGACATCAAGATATCAAGATATATCTGGCTTGTTACACTATACTATACTCACTATACCCCTCAGTTTCACGAATTCGATTTAAATTTCGTTGCTATGTGGCTCTAGGCCAAATTATTGACAACATTATGTTAATGCAAACATAAGTTTAATTCAATTATCTTGAGTTTTGTTTTATTTGAAAAATAATACACCATTTCGTTAGAGCATTTCTGGCACTAAAAATTATTTTGAAAGAAAATTCACAATGTTTAATCTCGATTGGTCTTGGCTGACATAATTTTTCTGAAAAATGAATACCTTTACACCAATACCAACATTAATGTAATCAGACAAGTAATAAAAATTCACAGAGAGGGGGTTCCCCATCTTGCAGCTTAGTGTTATAAAAATATAAAAAAGGTTACAGACATTCATTCGGGTTATAACTCATGCTTTGTGTTATTATTAGAGTCGACCGATACATTTGACGCTGTAATTGTGGCTAGTGGTTTCTTCACTGAAGAGTATTGGCCAGCATACAAAGGAATGGATATGTTCACAGGAACCTTCTCTCATAGTGGTAGTTTCTTCACTGCTGAAGAATATAAAGATAAAGATATACTCGTTGTAGGTAAGCGTGTACCATATATTCACACATAGCGAGGCAAGGTGTGTCCGATTCCAGCCAATCCGAACAGAGTATTCACATACTGTGCAGTGTGTGAACAGTTGTCATGGTGATGAATGGATTTTTCCCATTGGATGACTTGCCAACTTGATCCTTGCAAAAAATGTCATTGAAATGTGTTCTTTTAGTGATTTCGTTTCTTTTAGATGATTTTATAGAAAATTTGCGATGTGTAAAAATAATTTAATGACTATATACCCGGGCCTCAGTATATACCCCTGGAAAGAGAGACAGTCGCAATTAACTCTTTTGGCTTTGAGAAAAAATTAGACCAAGACAAGAACGTAGAGATAGTCTTTGCAATAGCTAAGATGGAATAGGCTAAATTCTGATTAAAAGTGGTTCCAAGGAACAATGTCACATTGTTATGCTTAGAATATATGTATCATACTTCGAATATGCCTTATTTCAAGGTGGATCGTACTCGGCCGGAGATGTAGCGACCGAAATTGCGGTACTTAGTAGGAATGTAAGTAGATGCGCCGAAAATGAAATCCTGTGTTACTCTAGGCCTAATACTATATATTATTATCCCGAAAATTCATCACCTGGTATTGATCATGAAACGTTGATTTCTTCTAATGTGTACTCCATAGCTCAAATTTCGAACACTTTTCAGATGTTTGTCAGTGCGACGCATGGATTTTGGGTTCTTCCTCGCCTTCTGGACGGATACCCTCACGAGGCTGCATACAGTACCAGGATTGTCAATGATGTCATCTCGATTGAGTAAGTTGATATTTTAAATGGAGGCATAAAATGTTCAAGGGCACATAATATATACTCCTCAAAAAAAGTTAAGGACCAGTATTTTTCCTCATAGGTTTCTGCCATTTTTTTAAATTTTCCTCAAATTTGACATCAATTTTTGATATATTGTAACGGAGATATTGAATTGAAATTTTTTGATTTTTTTTGAAATATAGAGAATAGAGTCAAGGTATATATCCATTTACATTATCAGTTTTTCTTTCGTTTCAGGCTTTGAAAATAAGAGTTCAAACAGACATGGGGTTTAACATGTAAACCTATGAGGAAAAAGACTGGTCCTTAACTTTTTTTGAGGAGTATAATTTGAAAGAAGACCAGTTGCATGTACTCATTGAGTCTATTTGCAGCCATTTACTACGGTGGCCATTGGGGCTCTGAAACCAATTCCAATTATAAGGCCACCATGCAGGATTTAATTTTGATTAGAATAATCAGAAATCTCTTGATGAGAATGTAGAGACTGTTGGCTTTGACTGTGTGGGCCCTTCTGGTTCTGGTTCTGCTAATTATATTTAAGAAGAAGTGGGTAGCTCCCATAGAGAGGTAGCATAAATATAGCCCAAATTGCATAAACTGTTTTATTACATCTTTAATCATATTTTGCATAATTTTGCTTGGAAAAAGAAAACGACCTCGTAACAGTACAATATATTTTCTTTATTAGAGATCTGAGAGCATCTTTAGAAGAAAAGGTAATCAAACATGTTGACCCTTTCGAATATGGATTCAATCCCGCAAGAAGATTTCTTCGACAGTCACACATGTTTAACGACGAGATTTGGAGACTGAAGCGTGATGGTAAAGTGCAGGTACTAGCTCATACATAAACACAGCGTCCATACTAAAGGTCTTATAATTGTTTAAATGTTCTACTTATTAAAGGCCCCATGTAAAGTTTAAACCACTTTGGCTTATATTATAGTCTTACCCAATGTTATCAAAGTGTGATATATGAAACTTTTTTTTTAAATTTCAAAAAGTGGTTTTTGATAGACTTTTTGTTCCAAAATTTGTGAATTTATTTCAAACCAACTTTTAGAGGTCACTCATATCTTCTAATTAGCCACAATTCATACCAATGCATAGCATTTATCCTCCCATGTTTTTTGCCGAAAAAATTAAGAAAATCTGTTGATAAACAAGCGAGAAATGAACTTATCAGTGCATGAAAATGGTTCTGAGAAAAATGCATTTCAAAATTTTAGTTCTCATAGAAACCAATGGTACAATGATATCTAAAACATAATTTATTCTTCCTTTTAACCTGGTTAGCCAATCAACATTGTTTTTTTATGAAAATCTAGCATATTTAGAAAAGATTGCCATCGAAAAAAAAAATTCAATTTTTTTCAAAAAGTTTTTGTTACCTTAGTGACATCACTAATGTTTCAAAATATTTTTGATAAGCTAAAACATTGAAGTGGCCCATTAAATATGACATTTTATTATTGAAATAGTGTGTCTTTTGTTCAATCTTTGCATTGGTGTTAAAAAGATAATCTTTTTTGAAATGCATTAAGAAATATTTGATGATTAAGAAATTTCAATTTGAATATTTGAGAAATGAAATGCTCACAACTTTTTTTTCAAAAAGATTTTTTTGTTCAAAAATCTCTAAAATCACTTTTTAAGTCCTGACAAATAGTAAATGGATGATAAAAAAATATTTTCAAACTTTAGACGGGGACTTTAACTATTTTATGTGTCTTCCCTTGATCTGCTCAGTTGCTAATTGGAAAGAACATAACAATTCGTGTTGGTGCAATTGATTTATTTTAATATAAAAAAAATAATAATTCATATCAATTAGCAAGTTGGGACGAGATTCGGAGACAGAAGCGTGATGGCAAAATGCATGTTCTAGCTCATCCATGAACAAATCATCAATGATAAAGGTGTTATAATTGTTTAAACGTTCTACTTATAACTATTTGTATCTTTTAATATTGTTTTACGTGGAATGTTGAATCGTTCTATGTTGGCATATTGTTATAGTCTTCAACTTTTTTGTGGACTGTGACATTTTTCATGTTAGTACCTTGTATATGTAGCAGTTTTAGAAATAAGGTTCATGTCCGCCTTTTTGGAACATCTGAAAAGTAGATCAATGCTTAGTATTCATCATAGCAGCAAAAATAAATAGTGGGTATTGTGTTGTGTCGATTTTAGGTTGTGCCAGGTATCAAGGAATTTACAGAAGATTCCGTCATTTTCAGTGACGGCTCTACCCACCATATTGACCATGTGATATTTTGCACAGGATACAAAACAAAATGTTCCTTTTTGAAGGACATGCAACATGGTAATAATATTAATTACACAGTGATATTAAAACACTTCATAACTTTATATTAAACAATGTTAAAAGTTGCCAATGTCAATGAGTTTCCACCAACAGTAAAAACCAGCAATAATTCAGTGTACAATCTCGCTCGAAATTGGCTACATTATTTAATACATCAATAACCTAAAACAAGAGTATTATCTTACTTTTGTTTGAATTATAGTTGAGTAGTATATAGTTAAATAGAGCATCTACATCTCACAAAATATATTAAAATATATGTCATTTACTCGCACACATTTAGATTCAGTGATTGATTTCAACTTATACCAGTACAAGCATATCTTTCCCGTTTGAGACCCATGGGTTGATAACACATAAATAGAGCATCTACATCTCACAAAATGTACATTAAAATAGATGTCATTTACTCGCACACATTTATATTCAGTGATTGACTTCAACTTACACCAGTACAAGCATATCTTTCCCGTTGGAGACCCATGGGTTGATAACACATAAATAGAGCATCTACATCTCACAAAATGTACATTAAAATAGATGTCATTTACTCGCACACATTTATATTCAGTGATTGACTTCAACTTACACCAGTACAAGCATATCTTTCCCGTTGGAGACCCATGGGTTGATAACACATAAATAGAGCATCTACATCTCACAAAATGTACATTAAAATAGATGTCATTTACTCGCACACATTTATATTCAGTGATTGACTTCAACTTATACCAGTACAAGCCTATCTTTCCCGTTGGAGATCCATGGGTTGATAACACATAAATAGAGCATCTACATCTCACAAAATGTACATTAAAATAGATATCATTTACTCGCACACATTTAGATTCAGTGATTGACTTCAACTTACACCAGTACAAGCATATCTTTACCGTTGGAGACCCATGCGTTGATAACACATAAATAGAGCATCTACATCTCACAAAATGTACACTAAAATAGATGTCATTTACTCGCACACATTTATATTCAGTGATTGACTTCAACTTACACCAGTACAAGCATATCTTTCCCGTTGGAGATCCATGGGTTGATAACACATAAATAGAGCATCTACATCTCACAAAATGTACATTAAAATAGATATCATTTACTCGCACACATTTAGATTCAGTGATTGACTTCAACTTACACCAGTACAAGCATATCTTTCCCGTTGGAGACCCATGGGTTGATAACACATAAATAGAGCATCTACATCTCACAAAATGTACATTAAAATAGATGTCATTTACTCGCACACATTTATATTCAGTGATTGACTTCAACTTATACCAGTACAAGCATATCTTTCCCGTTGGAGACCCATGGGTTGATAACACATAAATATAGCATCTACATCTCACAAAATGTACACTAAAATAGATGTCATTTACTTGCACACATTTATATTCAGTGATTGACTTCAACTTACACCAGTACAAGCATATCTTTCCCGTTGGAGACCCATGGGTTGATAACACATAAATAGAGCATCTACATCTCACAAAATGTACATTAAAATAGATGTCATTTACTCGCACACATTTATATTCAGTGATTGACTTCAACTTACACCAGTACAAGCATATCTTTCCCGTTGGAGAACCATGGGTTGATAACACATAAATAGAGCATCTACATCTCACAAAATGTACATTAAAATAGATGTCATTTACTCGCACACATTTATATTCAGTGATTGACTTCAACTTACACCAGTACAAGCATATCTTTCCCGTTGGAGACCCATGCGTTGATAACACATAAATAGAGCATCTACATCTCACAAAATGTACACTAAAATATATGTCATTTACTTGCACACATTTAGATTCAGTGATTGACTTCAACTTACACCAGTACAAGCATATCTTTCCCGTTGGAGACCCATGGGTTGATAACACATAAATAGAGCATCTACATCTCACAAAATGTACACTAAAATAGATGTCATTTACTTGCACACATTTAGATTCTGCAATCGATTTGAACTTATACAAGCATATGTTTCCCGTTGGAGTCCCATGGGCCGATGACACACTTGCTTTTGTTGGTTTCTGGGATTCCCTTGGTGTGTATCTTCCGTGTATGGAGTTACAAAGTCGGTTCATTGTCAGCGTCTTAAAGACTCACCCCCGCTATAAAAGGCCTGAATCAGTTGAAAAAACATGGCTGAATTCAAAATTTAGACAAAATCTGAGCTCACTGACATTTTCCTCATTTTCTCTAGTTATAGAAACCCTATCACTCTATAAATTGTCACAGTTATCTATGAATATAGGAGGCATTGAAACATGTTAAATCCAGTCCAAGATATTATTTACTTTTGTAATTATTACTGTTTAATTTCTGATATTGGAACAACTGAGAAGGAGGAGCCTATTTTGAAATGAGCCAATCACAACAGGCGATCCGTGCATATTTAGAGGTCAACAAAAGCACATGGCCTAAAATATCTGCAGTAAATGAAGTATTATTGATATTAACTTACCCTGATCCTGGCTGAGGCATTTCAAGTGATGTGATCTTTATATATCCAACAGTGATAGTTAATCCAATTACATGCACATAGTCATGTTGTATTTATATGTTATTAATCTTGTAAATAATCTATGGAATGTGGTAAAGTATAAGTATATTGTATAATTAAAATATAGAATCCATCCATTTGTTCCAAATATTGTTTTTGTAATAAGTTGTGTAGTCCTTCAAAACTTTTCTTTGTTTGAAGGGATTCAGTGGATCATCAATTTCAGTAATGCTGGAATAATCACGGTCTACATTTTCATTCCAGTGGACGACAGCTAGATTAGTTCTTATTTCGAATTGTTGCTTTTTAAAGACAACACGCTTATCATGGAAAATATTCAACGTATTGTTGAAGCTCTCAACATAAAATGTGTCCATAGCTTCTGTATAATGTTCAGCGTGTCTATAAATTTCTGTTTTTTTAATTGATGATAATAATAATTGTTCTGCAATGGGTGAGGTGATTCTAATTTTCTCTAATCTGTAGTTGATATTTGTTTTACAGCTTGATATGGCATCGCAATTTAAATGGTTGTCCTTATAATGGTTTGGAATTTGCTCTAGTTTCATCCTGATTGTATTCGGATTCTTATCACAGTTTCGAATAACTTGCTGTGCTCTTTTTCGTGCCCCATCGGGTTTGTCTATGAGTTCCGAGTGCCACGTCTCGCCATCTTTATATTTGGGCCCCTTACAAACTTTGTTTATTTCACGACTGAATGACTTTGCCGCATGCCATGTGTCATTCTGGTTTAAAGTTTCCTTGCCACCAGGTCCTCTGTGCTCACGGATTATTTTATTGATTGTACCGTTGTTGTCATGGGCATGAATATTTATTTTAACTTGTTCAGCATCAAAAAATTCATACATCCGTTTAGTACCCAATGCCTCATGCTTTTGAGATGACATTTCATCTTCCTTTGAAACATGTTCAGAACGTATAACTCTGTGTTTGTTGTGGCCCAAACATATCACATCACAATCAAACGCATTTCTTCTACCACCATGTCGAGCATCCGTCATGATATTGATACCATTTGCCTCGACATCAGGATACGTCCCCTTTTCTTCATCTAAGGCAGCTTTGCAAGATTCTTTCATCGCTTCACTGATATGAGAAGATAATTCATTTGTATAAGTCTTCTCTTTTCTCCAACCTAGATGGCCCATACCGACTGCTTTAACAACATTCTCATATTGTGAAGGCAGTAGCCCACTTGTCAACTGTCCAAAGAAAAAACGAAGATTGACGTAAGCCTCGCTATTTGGTAAGTGGGGTGAGGAAGGCCATCTTACATAATGTTCGCTGACCTGGCATTTAAATGCAATTGTTGCTGCATGTCCATGTAATACTACTTCTTGCAACTGAAGTTCCGCTTGACATATTCTGCTATGATGTTCAACTAAACTTACAAGTTTTTTGACAGTTTTTTCAGTTGTAAAAAATATTGGTTGCTCAGTTTCATGTCTCTCTAGTGGTGTGTACCAAGACTCTGGCTCAAGATTGCCTTCAGATGATGCTGAAGTATGTGTGTTGCTACTTGCAGATGGCATATTGTGTGTTAGCCAATAGTCTAATGCTATTTCTATGGCATCTACATTGCCATTCAGGTGTAAAAACTTCTTTATTTTACTCGTTTTTCCAAGCAAAGTTTCCTTCTTCTCTTGACCTCCTGCACATTCAATTGAGAATCTTGAGGAACGCCCATGCTTTTCTCTATATTCCTTCTTTTTCTTAGCTTTACTTGCCATCATACAGTTTAGGATTGCTACAATGTGTGTCTTGCCTAGTAACTGTTAGTAAGATATGTGAAAAGGCACAAATGTAACAGTTGAAAACACATGGCAATTTAGGCAAAGGGTGTACCTTAGGGATGTGACAGTGTGGGAAATATATAACCATAATTATATTTATTTTAGTTATTAAGCTAGGGAGTGCAAAAATGATAAGCCATATTTTATTGTTGCATTATAACCACATTTCTTTTTTGTTCTTACTCAAATTCTAGCCATAATTTAATGATGAAAGTTCAGAAAAATAAAAAATCCAGGTAACTGTTTGCAACTTATGCCATGAGGCACATAAGTGGTACAGCCCCAATTAAAAATCTCAGAGGTCTAGGATTTGCCTGCTTTCACCACTTAGCTATAAAATTGAAAAATTGGGAAATTCAAGAGATTTTCTACATGCCTCATTGACAAAGTCAGGGAGTCATGTTTATTAATTATCAATCATGGTCACATCAATAGAAACCTAGATTTGGACCTTACAAGAGTTCATGTGGATGTACCATATCATGAACACAGGGGTGAACAAATTACACTCTTCCACATATGAAGATTATATGTTAGATTTCTGGTGACATTCAACATTTAATGTACCTTCCCGAGTGAGTATATCTGAGATTCCAGATATTTATTATTAAAACCTCCAAGAATTGGAGAAAGCCTTGGTTTTCCCATAGTAATATACATTTATCAAGCTGCATTTCACTGGTCTTTCAGATTCTAAAAACTAAATCTATGATCCAAGAAACAGTGTCATTTTATGTTTGAAGTTCAAGCAGTGAAATGGAAAGCAGAACTTACAGCTTGAAGATAAATGTAACTGAGGAACAGAGGTTAGTGATAGAATCCCTATATGATCACTATGACTGGAACTTTGACCCCATTGAGGACAGCTACAAGAACAGTAGGTTGAATAATACAGAAAAAACAGTAAACGTGAATAGAAGAAAAGCAGCAAAGAGGAAAACATCAGCTAGTATCTCTTCAGAAACAGTAGCAATTTGTTCTTTAGAAACAGTAGCCACTGATTCTTCAACAGAAGACGAAAGTCAAGCAAGTCAGTCAATCAGCATTTTGACTGGTATGATACCACAACATGTATCTACAGAGCCTCCGCAGCCTCCTAACAATGATTCCCCTAGTTCTAATGAAGAGTCACATGATTGTCCGCATTGTTTCTGGAACCCATGTGTTGTCAATGAAGCCAAGTATGAGCCATTTTGGAGGACAACAAATGCAACTCCATCATTGTCAAACATTATAACAAGGAGAAAACTGTACAAGGAATTTTGGAGAATGATAAACAATCTAGGACTATGGAGACATCCTAACTATTTAACCAAAAAGGCAGCTTCCAAAAGTAGTGACAGAAGTATAATATACCATAAAAGGGAGATAATGCCCACATGTGTTGTCACACAAGTGAGAGAATGGTTCCCGAATCCACCTGGCATTGAATATAAAGGACATGTTTACCAGTGAATGGATATAAGTTCAGCTAGACTTACACAATGAAATATTCTTATTCGGATTAATTAAATATAATAGTATACACATTAACTATAGTAACTACTATTTGGATTATATGCTCTTATAATATTGTTTAGTGGATTATTAAATGAGAAACCAATGCATATATATGTGAGTACAAAATTTTACTGCTATGTTATTGTTTACTATTTTGGTGGCCATTTTTAAAAATCTTGTTTTGAAGGCTGTGATTGGCTCAATCGGTGTGAATTTCTATTGGTTAATGAAAACTACTTTTTGATTGGATAACAGGACCCAGGGTCTTGGTTCTGTGTCTTTAAGGAGGAAGCTTAAGTTACCCGGATGTGAAGAGAGGCAGAGAGATATTGATACTGCATTGGCTGATAACGAGCTACAGTGGAGCAAGCCGTCAACAAAGGTAAAATGACATGTTTAATCTATACATGTACAGTATACAGAATGGGCCAAAAAACGCCACTTTTTTTTCAAAATGTTATAACTCTTTTAATTTTTGATACAAAATCATAATTTGCATACCAAATGAAACTTGAGGTTGTTATCTAGCCATGGATCATGAATTATACACTTTTACTTGAATAAAATATGTCACCAGCGTCTCACTTAAACATGTGGTGCGCAATGAGAAATAAGCATAATATGCAAAATGTTCCTGAACTGATACGGCCTGATGACCCCCAAGCTAATAGCCCTGATGCAACCCCAGTGAGTATAGGGTATGGGGAGGTCTCCAGGAGATGGTATGAAGGCACCCAATCTAGAAAATTGCTCAACTAAAGCTGGCAATTAAGACATGTTGAAAAAAATTTAGCTAACATTTCATTGATACTGCTATATCAGCAAGGCGACTAAAACTAAAATATATCATCAAATAGGATGGCGGACCAATTGAACTCCTCTTTCCAGCTTTCCATTTGTTTATTTTATACCTTGTTTTAGTTCTTTTGACAGGTTAAATAGTCAGAAAGACCAAAAACCAAGTTGACCAAAGGTCAGAGCCGTTTTCAGCAACGTATCTGAAGTAGATTAATGCCAATGTACATCTGAAGAGTACTTTGAATGCTTTTTTAATGGTATGGTAGGGTATTGATTGGTTATATCAGATACACCCTGTATAATCAAAAGAATACTGAGGCGATTTTATTACAGAAAAGGATAACAAGAATAGTAATTTGTTTTTACTTTTCAGACCATGCCATATTTTTATATGATGGATTTAGCGGACCAGATGGGCGTTCAACCTGATATAGCTGATATCAAGCTAAAAGATCCAGAGCTGGCAGATCGCATTCTGGAAGATATACTACTTCCCTGTCAATTCAGGTTACACGGAGATGGTGCGAAATACGATCAATCCAGAGAAAGAATTCTAAACCTTACAAGTTTGTTTCTAAAGATGGGGAAACTGTGAACGTTCAGGGATCCTATTGAAGCATGATTATTGATATACATATACATACGTAATATTATTGTAC